CATATTATTTTTGTTGATGGGTGATTATGCTCTCTTGGTTCCTCCCGAGGTTCGCACCAAGCTTGATTATCAGAGACTCGAAAACCTGCAAAACCGAACAAGACTAGACCGATGTGACACTTGTCACACGGGATCTGATGCCTAAGTCAGCAAGGGGGAATAGTAGAGTCATAGAATTCAAGGGTCGAATTCGACTTACCTTAGGGTTAGGTGAGTCTAGATGCCTAAGGCATCGTAGGCAACAAAAGAGCGAGGATGTCAGGCTCGGCAATGGGCCGAGCTTGGGTTGGCTCGGCGGCTCGGGTCGACTCGACGGTTGGGCCCGACTCGATTTGGTCGGCCATCTCGTCGATTCTCTTTTGTTTCTTGATTGGTTTGTTTGTCATTTTCCTTCCTACAACAGTTTTAATTAAAAAAGAAATTCCTATGATACAAAATGAGTCTAAGTTAGCTCTCATTTCACAATCAACCAAGGCAATTGCTTACCTAACCCCCAAAATAATAATAATAATCAAAACAAAAGTCAAACTACCTTTAGTACATTTATGCCACTATTATTTTTAAGTATTTACTTCTAAATTTATCTGTTTTCAAAATAAAATTTTGCTTAATGAAAATGAATAGTAAATACAATTAAACAGTAAATTGTAATGAAGTAGATATTTATTAATTTTTGTTTTTAGTATTGGGTTTTTTGTATAGGTCCCATCATTTTTTCTTTTTTGGGATTTAACAATTTTTCGATTTTTCTTGTTTCAATGTTACTTAAAGTTTGATGTTTAAATCTTAAAATTTGATTTAAATCCTCTTGATCTTCAAACTTTTGAATATTATATCTTAATTATAAAAAAGTATATTAATTTTTATAACTTATTTTTTGGTATAGGGCGGCACTTTTTACTTGGTTTATTAGATAAGTACAAAAATATATATATATATATTCAAAAGATAAGTAAAATATTTGAATACTTCAAATTTTGAGTTTCCTAAGAAATTTAAWTTTTTGTTAAATAATTAATAAAAATTAATACCAAAATCTATTTAAATTTTATCTTTCTAATATTTTTATTTTTGTACATTTGTGTCAGTATAATATCACATCAAAATAAATATAAAAAAAAAAGTGTCTGTTTTTAAATGGGAATTGAATTAAAATTTTCCATCCATGATGATCATTTTATTTTTTAGAGGTGGTTATCAAAAATCTATTTTTATTTTTAAAATTTAGTTAAGATTTTAGAATATTTTTTTTAGTACATTTCAAAAATAATAATAGACACTAGAGATAATACTCTCATGGGAGGCGCCACCAAATTTTCTATCCACCACCAAATTTTTTATGCCTAATTTAAATTTTACGTCCAATTTTATCTATTATGCTTGAAATAGTGATGTCAACGTGGATATCTCAATTTACGGAAATATTGATGAAAATATCGGTAAAATATTCGTGTAAATGGATATTTCTATAAAGGTTATAAAAATATTTTTTTTACAATTTCTAAATAAGTTAAAAATGATTAATATTACTGTTATGTCTATATTATTGATATTTTGTTGGAATTTTCCATATTTTGTCGATCTTTTTGCAATATTATAGAAATGTCTATTTACCCATCATTTTAATGTCGAACCCATCAATATAGAGAAATGTTGTTGGATATGTCGACATGTTGACGAATATTTAATATAATGATGCCAAAATGCTTAGCAGTAATTGACATCTATTCTTTTATTTGAATTTGGAAGTTTGAACCTTCGTACCTCTAATTTATTATCTAAAAAAAATTTAATGGTAGGCAACATGAGTTTTATCCCATTGATATATACATACGTACGAGTAACAATTAATTTTTTTTTTTGCCAACTAATCAATAAAGGTGTGTTGGAAACATGATTTTATGATGCGGCTTTATAAATTATCTCTTGAATCATAAATTATTCGCTAATCTAAGTATAGTTAAACTAATTAAGACATGTATCATTGAATTACTCGCTAATCTAAATATACTTAAGCTAATTAAGACATCAAAGAAATGCTATTACTCTCATTTCTTGCTCTCTCCTAAGATTTGCTTCCTTTTTGTTTTTTTTTCCTCTTAGTTCGATATTTCATCGTTCTTTCACAAATTTTCTCTCACCACTTCTCACTCGTTCCTCACAATCCACCACACGGTTTTCTATTTTTATTTATTTATTTTTTTTCTTCCACTTACCATAACTTTTTCATCTTCTTCTTTTCTTTTTTATTTTTAATTTTTTTTATTTAAGACATGTATCAATAAAATACTGTGAGTTTCAATTACAGCCAACGTATTGTTTAACTAAAAAAAAACAATAAATTCAAGAGATAAATTTTATAAAGAAATTGAAAGAGACTACTTGATGTGAAAGGGTAAAAGCAAGCACCAACGAAAACTCTCTTTATCAAATAATTTCTTTTCAAAATGACTTTATCTTTCCTTAATCGCTTTCTCCAAACACTATTTTGATTCTTGTCAAAATAATAATTAATAATAATATTATTACTATTATTGTGAATATTTTATTTATCCCTTTGCAAAAAAAAAAACAAAAAAACAAAATAAGAATATTTTATTTATCATCAAAATATCTTTGGACTTTTCCATACATTTCCTTTTATTGATAATACTTTATTATGTCAATCTCTTAGATTTAAATCTATTTTTGCGTTGAAATAAAAAAAATAAGGAAAAGAAAAGAAAAGACTACTATTTTTTCCAACTGCAGCATAGTTTAACAAATTCAAATAGTATTAATTTTAGGACAAAATATATTTTTCATCTTTAAGATTTCCTGAGTATCTAAAATCAAAGTTTAAAAAGCATATTTTCAATTTTTGAAATTTGATAAATTTAAATGATCGCTAAATTTATAAGAAATTATACTAAATGACATAAAATAAATATGTACTCCCAAAAGTAATTTTTGATTGGTCTCTGTTATAAATTTGCAATTTATGCAATTTTGTAAAATTTTAAAACTAATACTATATATATGAATAAAAATACAATCCTATATATAAAAATACATATTCTTAGATACCAATTTCATTGAAATTGAGCTAAGATCATATTGACACAATTAAAATATTAATTTCGTGTGAACGCACAGCGAAATAACGGTTTCTATCTTTCTAACTATTCTTAAAAAGAATAATGTATGTTTATTTTATTTTAATAATATAGTACTTTCAGTAATATTTTAAGTTGACCATTTCACTTAAAAAGAAGAAAAAAATTGAATAATGTAGTAATATAAAAATGAACTAATCTAAAAATATTTGTTATTAATGATTTAAATAATATTTTTTAGAATTATTGTTAAAAAAATGAAGCGAGCATTTTAGGTCATTAATATTTTAACTACAAAACTATATTCAAACGGTTACTTTTAATAATCCTAAGATTCTCATAAAATTACAAAACCCAATTTCCAAACATTTGATTCTCCTCTAATTTGTCCATAAATAAAAAAGGGAAAAAAAACTTCAGCAGTTTGTTTGTGAATTTTTTATTTTTTATTTTGTAAAGATTGTACTTGCTTAATAGCCTTTTTTAATTTCACATTATACTGCAACCGAAATTTTAAAATAAAAAAAAATTCAAATACATTTTTGTAGACAAATATATATATATATATATATATATATATATATATTATTTTTAACTTTGAAAGTTGACCGAGAATTTAAATATATTTTACAATAAAACACATATCCATGGTTATTAAGTTTTTTTTTTAATTTTGTTTTTATAATACAAGTATATATCTCTTTTATAGATTAGAGGTTCAAATATTTTCGATCATTATAATATAATAATATATAGTTTTTTACAAATTTAATTTTAAAAACATAAATATAGAAAATCTAAAGTTTAAATCTCTCATACATTCAATTTTCATTGAATTTTGTCACACCTTAATAATAAAATCTAAAAGTTTTAAATATTGATATCAATAGAAATGTTATTGTCTTGATTTTATGAAAATGTTAAGGAAATATTGATAAGATGGGGATGTCAATGGATATTTATGAAAAAAATTATATATAAAAAATTACAAATATTTAAATCAACAAATAAGCATTTCACGCTTTGAAATATATTACAAATTATTAATATTAACATTATGTCCACATGTATATATTTTTTGAGAAAACATTAGGTCCATATTAGTTATATTTTGTTGATGTTTTTATATTTATCGATTTCTTTGCAATACTATGGAAATATTGATTCACATAGATATTGAACCCAATGAACATATGAAAATGACAAGGAATATCGACATGATGGAAATTTAAAAAAATTCAAAAAATCTCCTCCCCTACAGGTTGGAGGTTGGATTCCCATATCCCCAAATTGTTGTACTAAAAAACGGTCTCCCACAAAATCTTGAAATTTTAGGTGGGTTTGATGGATAATCAGAAAACAAGATTATTTGTTTTTAATGTTTCGTATTTGACAGCAAATTTGAAAATTGAATCTCAATCTAAAATTTTGTTTATATATTCGTAAACAAGCAATTATCACTTATGAACTAAATATTTAGTGTAAAATAATATTATTAATTTATTAACATTTTTGTTAGAAGTTTTGTATAACTATTAGTGTAAAATTAATATTATTAATTTATTAACATTTTTGTTATAAGTTTTGTATAACTATTATTTTAAAATATTGTATATTTTTAGTACAATTTTAAAATATTGTATAATTTAGAATATATATTTTAACAAAATGAAATGGATTTATAGCATGACATAAAATAATTAAAATTTTTGTCTTTCTTTTAACCACGACAGCGAGTATTGACTGAATTCATTTGATACAGTAAAGGTGTTAATCAATTTATCGACAAGAAATGTAATTTAATATTAAAATTAGAGCGCGTGACCACCACGCATCCAGAGCGCGTGGGCTTCAACAAACTCGGTCGTGATCCCAGTCAACTTTAAACTTCGAAGTCTNAGAGGCTCTCTCCTTAAGAAGAAGAAGAAGAAGAAGAAGAAGAAGAATTTTCAAAGCAGCAAAAAAAAAAGGAGGGAGCCATTGATCTTTCAGTGCTCCATGATGCGAATAACCCAAAATTTCCATCGTTTCATCTTTTAGAATCCTGCTCCCCCCTTTTCCCCCACAATCGCATAATCCTTCAGCAGCCGAATTATTCAAAGAAGAAGAAGAAGATTGATGGCTTCGAATTCGATTCTCTACACTCTTGTCTGTTTGATTCTATGTCTTTTCATTGGCCGCTCTCATTCGTTCCAATTCCATGATTTTTCTACTTTCACAGTCTCCAGCCTTACGTACCCTGATACCCAGTTGCAGCCATTTCAGCTTCGGTATTTTAGAGGTGCGTGTTTTTATTGTTTTGTAAGGATTTGATTGCGATTCTCTGCTGTTGATTGAGTGATTGGTTGCTTCGTGATGTCAACTTCTTAGACAAATTGTGGAGTTATTTGTTCTTTCTTTGTTTGTTTGCTTGTTGTTTGCCAGTGGAGTAGTTGCTTTGCTTCCGACTTTGGTGTTTTATTTGATCATTTTGTGTGTTTATGCTGTGAAGTGATTACTGGGTCGACGTCAGGTTTTTGAAATTGAGTTGGGGTTTTGTTGAATTCATTAATTACTTTGGAATTTTGTGGAATTTCGTTATCTCGTTTGCTGTTGTTTTCTGGGTACGTGTCGATTTCGTGATTTGGTGTTGAATTCTGCTGCGTTTTTAGTTTATGATTTGGTTTTCTTTGAATACACCACCATTGAGTTTTATGTTGTCCTGAATTTTGAGCTCTACTTGTTTGTGTTGCTGATTTCTGTCTGGAATAAACTATCGATCTTCAACAATATAAATGAAAAATTTGAGTTGATTAAACAATGGAGCTGATGTGCTCTAATAAAAAATCAGGTCTCTTTCTGCGGTTAACAGGGGAGACGAGGATAAAAGGGTCTTGGGAAAGCATTCTGCAAGCCATGTTTAACTGTGGTCTCTTGATTAGGAATTAGGGTTTTGTTTGTAGAAAGTTTTCATTTATTATTTTCCAACCTTTTTAGTTAGCAAATTGATGTTTTGTGCTTTTAGATCTTAGGTATCAAGGAGTTTGGTGTGTTGTTTGAGGTAAGTATACGAAATTTCTTCTTTTCAGCGTTTAATTTTGTTCTTTTTTTTTTCCCTGTTCCAGTTGAGTTGCCGCCATGGTTCTCATCATTGTCTATTTCATTGAACTCAGATGTAGATCTTGTAAGTACGCATACCAAGTTTGAGTTTGAAAATATAACTATTTAAACTCCGATATCTGACGATTGTCCTGTGACTTCAAGTGTCCCGTCTGATTTTTATTTTTTTCACTCTGAATTATTTTGACTCTGCTGCTGCAGTTGTAGTCCAGAATTGTTTTATACTAAAAAACTTTATGCTACATTTGCCCTGGAATGTGATTTAGCTGTTAATAAGCAATCTCTCTTAGTCTCTTGGTTTTCCTGTTTCTTACTGTGCAAATTGTTTTCAGGACATCGCGAGCGTAAGAAAGATACCAAAGCGTGCATTGCCTATAATTTGCTTCAGAGATGGCAGCCCCCCGCTGCCGGATGCTAACACTTCCTTAATAGATTCAGGTTGTTTGAGTTAGCTACAACTTAAAATAAGCTTCATGTAGTTCTAGTTTGTCTGGATTTATTCTTCTTAGCCTTTTGTTTTACGTTGAACATTTTATTTCCTGGATTTATTACTTTTTAAGGTTGTTATTTTTTTCCTTGGGAGGCTTAAAACACATTTTTCTCAAAATCAAATCTGGGACTGGGAAGATAGGTGCTAATCACTTCAAATTCTGCTAACAGTTCTAGGCTATGGGGGCTCTGTCCCCAGTTTTGACGTACATTACTTCCACAATTTGACTTTCAATTGTCTTTGATTTAATGGAAAACGTACATGTCACTTCTCTGATATGTAGACAGTCTTCAGAATGATTTTATTTCAAGTGGTTCTTGAAAGTTCTCTCCTGCAACAGGGTTAGCTCTTTTGACCAACATTTCGATTGAGGGAATACAAGGCCATCAAAATGCGGAGCAATGCTATCCAATGCAGCGATATATCGAAGTAAAGTTGACTAATGAGCAGGTATATCAATAATCTTTTTTTTTTTTTC